TCCTTAATGTGTTGGCTATAACCTTGCAGATTTAAGGTAGCAATACTAGCAATGTTGCAGAAGTCTTACTTTGCCATGATGCTTTACCGGGTTTCAGCCTACGAACTTTACTCCTACTAAGTACTTTTAATCTAGCTATTATTACTAAGTTTCAAATTAGGAATGACATTTAGAATTTTCTCAAAATCCTCCTCCGACTTTTATGAGGTGAACATAAGGTTCCCTTTTTTTTTTTGAGACGGAGTCCTCGCTCTGTTGTCCAGGCTAGAGTGAGTGCCGTGGCGTCAGCCTAGCTCACAGCAACCTCAGACTCCTGGGCTCAAGTGATCCTCCTGCCTCAGCCTCCTGAGTAGCTGGGACTACAGGCATCGCCACCCATGCCCGGCTAATTTTTCTATATATATTAGTTGGCCAATTAATTTCTTTCTATTTATAGTAGAGACGGGTCTCGCTCTTGCTCAGGGTGGTTTCGAACTCCTGACCTCGAGCAATGTGCCCACCTCGGCCTCCAGGATTACAGGCGTGAGCCACCGCACCCAGCCAAGGTTTCCCTTTTAACTTCTTATTTTAAGTGTGATCTCTCCCCTTATAAGAATTTTTGCCAGTATCCGAAGTAGAGGTTGGCAGAATGTGCTGCCGTGGCAAGGATGCGGTTCTCTTCATCCAGCATCTCCTGAGTGATGGCCCCTTAACTGCCCTTGGGGAGGCCAGCAGGGGAGGCCCAGATGAATTCGTCCTTGTGGCCATCCTCACCTTAATGTCACCGATAGCACAAGAGCATTTGAAAACCATTGTGTTGGTAGGGGACCCAATTCTAAACGTCGTCACTTTGAGTAAAGCCACAAAGAAAATCTCTTGAGAGTATGATAAAACAAAAGGAAAAATCGAGTTAAAAATGACCAAATTAAGCTGACTCACACCTGTAATCCCGGCAGTTTGGGAGGATGAGGCGGGAGGATCACTTGAGGCCAAGAGTTCGAAACCAGCCTGGGCGACATATCGAGACCTCGTCTCTCGGCCGGGCGAGGTGGCTCACGCCTGTCATCCTAGCACTCTGAGAGGCCGAGGCAGGAGGATCGCTCACGGTCAGGAGTTCGAAACCAGCCTGAACAAGAGTGGCACCCCATCTCTACTTAAAATAGAAAAAAAATTAATTGGACAACTAAAAATATATAGAAAAATTAGCCGGCGTGGTGCGCATGCCTGTAGTCCCAGCTACTCGGGAGCTGAGGCAGGAGGATCGCTTGAGCCAGGAGTCTGAGGTTGCTGTGAGCGAGGCTGATGCCACGGCACTCACTCTAGCCTGGGCAACAAAGTGAGACTCTGTCTCAAAAAAAACAAAAAGTCTACATAAACAAAATTAAGGAAATAAATCCCCCCACTCCGAAAATCACTGCAGTGTGCGATCTCTCGTGTTTCTCTGTGTTCTTTCTTTTTAGAATGGGTGCACGTTTGCCATATTACTGTTTTGCCTATCTGTGGTTCTGAATCACGTTTTACGGTATCTTTTCTCGTTTTTCTCGAAGGATTTCATCCTGGAGCATTACAGTGAGGACAGCTGTTTATACGAGGACGAAATCGCGGATCTTATGGACCTGAGACAGGTACGTTCCCGTGCCCAGTGGAGGCGGGCGGGTGGGCGGGTGATCGCCGCGGACTGAGGTCCCATGGTGTCAGGGACGGGTGGCCGTCGGCACCAGCCCTCCTCCGGCTGCATGAGCCATGCAAGGGGACGGGGCCGGGGCCGGACTCCGGGATTCCCGACTTCATCCCAGCGCCCCTTTCACACCTCCGAGAGTCCCCGGCACCGGCCACGGGCCCGCCTGCCACAGGAGGAGGGCGAAGGTGCCCGTCTGTGTGTGCGCAAGGCACCTTCCGGGGTGGCCGGGGCAGGGCTCTCCTCTGCTCAACCCCCCGCGGTTCTGCTCCTCGCAGGCCTGTCGCACGCCCAGCAGGGACGAGGCCGGGGTGGAGCTGCTCATGACCTACTTCCTTCAGCTGGGCTTCGTGGAGAGTCGCTTCTTCCCGCCCACGCGGCAGATGGGGCTCCTGTTTACCTGGTAGGTGCCCGAGGTCTGCAGGGTGCAGCCGCCGTCTGGGGGACTGGGCACCGCGGATGTCCCCCTGCACGGCGGCCCCTGTCCTGGCTGGCGCGTTCCTGCGGGCGAGTCTGGAGAGAGGTCCATGAGTTGGTGTTTTTTTTTTTTGGTTTTTTTTGAGACAGTCTCGCTGCTCTTGCTCAGGCTGGTCTCCAACTCCTGGCCTCAAGCGGTCCTCCCACGTCTGTCTTGCAAAGTGCTAGGATGACAGGCGAGAGCTACAGCACCTGGCTGGGAAGCCTTATTGTTGTGTGTGGCTGTGTGTGTGTGTGTGTGGGGGGGCTCCTTATTCAGGTACGATCGAACCTGTCATCTTGCTTGGGAACAACAGCCTCACTGCACGTGTAGCTTTTGAATGTTATTCAGGAGGTGGATTTTGTCCGCTTTCACCTCCGAGTGGCAACAACTGGCCGAGTCACTTGTGCGTGTGTTCTCTGCAATAGGTACGACTCCCTCACCGGGGTCCCGGTGAGCCAGCAGAACCTGCTCCTGGAGAAGGCCAGCGTGCTGTTCAACGTCGCCGCCCTGTACACCCAGGTCGGGACGCGGTGCAACCGGCAGACACAGGCTGGGCTGGAGAGCGCGGTGGACGCCTTCCAGAGAGCCGCGGGTGAGTGTCCTCCGGGGCTGCCCGCACAGGACCTGGGCCCTGCCAGGTGGCGCAGGGGTAGCCCCGCCGAAGAGGGTCCCCGGGCACCCTCCCCCTCGCCCCCAGCCCCGGCCTTGCCTCGCAAGCCTGAACGGGCCGGGCCAGTTTTCACACCGTTGTAACTTAAGAGATGTGCTGGGCCGGGCGCGGTGCCTCATGCCTGTCATCCTAGCACTCTGGGAGGCCGAGGCGAGAGGATCACTCGAGGTCAGGAGTTTGAAACCAGCCTGAGCAAGAGCGAGAGCCCGTCTCTACTGAAAATAGAAAGAAATTAATTGGCCAACTAAAAAATTAGAAAAAATTAGCTGGGCATGGTGGCGCATGCCTGTAGTCCCAGCTACTCGGGAGGCTGAGGCAGCAGGATCGCTTGAGCCCAGGAGTTGGAGGTTGCTGTGAGCTAGGCTGACGCCATGGGACTCACTCTACCCCAGGCAACAGAGCGAGACTCTGTCTCAAAAGAAAAAAAAAAACGATTGGCCCTTAGGATGAAACGGGATGCTGGGATTCCAAGCGGGCATGGATCGCTTTGGCTGCAGATCCCTTTCTGGACCTGCCTGTCCTTCTGAGGAGTCTTGAGCAGGCAGCCCTGGGACCTGTCTGCAGGGTTGCTGGGATTTGGACAAAGTGAAGCGTGATGGCAGCGGGAGTCCCCTGGAACCCCAGCGGGGCACAGGGCCTGCAGCGGGTGCCATGGCGCTTGCCCTGCGGGGCAGCAGAACCGGAGGAACCAGTCGGATGGGATTGTGGTCCGGGATTATATTTCAGCTCCAGATCGACTGTCAGTTAATGCTTCTGACAGTTAATTTTCTAACGTTTAAGAAAGGGAGCTGAGAGCTACAGCGTGAAGATTTCCACCGGAGTGGACCGGATTGCTATTTCTGGGGGTTCTGGGGAAAAGCCCCGGGTTTCCCATGTGTGAGCGTCACCTGGGAGCCCCTCAGCCCGCACCTGCTCTCTGCCTTCACCTCCACAAATGCCTGGTCTCAGGTGTAATGTCTCCCAGTTGCCCCAGGGGAGACTGGAGCGGAGGCCAGTTTCCTTGCTTGATACAGTTGTAAATGGTTTGGAAGGTAATCCAGTGTTTTAATTAGTTTGTTTGTTTCTGAGACAGAGTCTCACTCTGTTGTCCAGGCTAGAGTGCCGTGGCATCAGCCTAGCTCACAGCAACCTCAGACTGCTGGGCTCAAGCAATCCTCCTGCCTCAGCCTCCCGAGTAGCTGGGACTACAGGCATGTGCCACCATGCCTGGCTGATTTTTTCTATATATATGTATATTCTTTTTTCTTTTTTTGAGACAGAGTCTCACTTTGTTGCCCAGGCTAGAGTGAGTGCCGTCGCATCAGCCTCGCTCACAGCAACCTCAAACTCCTGGGCTCAAGCGATCCTCCTGCCTCAGCCTCCCGAATAGCTGGAACTACAGGCACACGCCACCATGCCCAGCTAATTTTTACTATATGTATTAGTTGGCCAATTAATTTCTTTCTATTTATAATAGAGACGGGGTCTCGCTCTTGTTCAGGCTGGTTTGGAACTCTTGACCTCGAGCAATCTGGCTGCCTCAGCCTCCCAGAGTGCTAGGATTACAGGTGTGAGCTACTGCGCCTGGCCTTCATTCCTTTTTAAGGCTGAGAGATATTTCGTTGTATCATATACACATGTCACATTGTGCCTATCCATTCATCCATCGACAGGCGTTTGGGTTGTCTCTGTCTTTTGGCTTTTGTGAGTGATGCTGCCATGATCATGGGGTACAGGTATCAGTGGGGCCCTGCTTCCAATTCTTCGGGGTGCACCTAGGAGCGGGACTGCTGGATCATGTGGTCATTAAGAATCCAAATTGTGGCTGGGTGTGGTGGCTCACGCCTGTCATCCTAGCACTCTTGGAGGTGCAGGTGGGAGGATCACTCGAGGTGTGGAGTTCAGCAAGAGCAAGACCCCGTCTCTACTAAAAGTAGAAAGAAATTAATTGGCCAACTAAAAAATACATAGAAAAAATTAGCGGGGCATGGTGGCACATGCCTGTAGTCCCAGCTACTCGGGAGGCTGAGGCAGCAGGATCTCTTGAGCCCAGGTGGAGATTGAGGTTGCTGTGAGCGAGGCTGACGCCACGGCACTCACTCTAGCCCGGGCAACAGAGTGAGACTCTGTCTTAAAAATAAAAAAAAGGAAAAAGCAAAAGAATCCCATTTGTAAAGATGCCGTGCGATGCCAGTTTTCGCTTCTGTCATTCTCTGGGGCAGCATGGTGAGGTGAGCATGGCCCTAAACTAAGGAGCACAACTGTGACCCTTCCAGGGGTTCTGAACTACCTGAGGGAGACGTTCACGCACACGCCCAGCTACGACATGAGCCCCGCCATGCTCAGCGTGCTGGGCAGGATGATGCTGGCGCAGGCGCAGGAGAGCGTGTTGGAGAGGATCTGCCTTCCCGGCATCCGGAACGAGTTCTTCGTGCTGGTGAAGGTGGCCCAGGAGGCCGCCAAGGTGAGACTTCCCGGCTCCCGCGACTTCTGGGGGCGGCGGGGCAGGCCGGCACAGGTGCCCCGGGAGCGGCAGGGGCTGCCCACGGCCCTGGCCGCGCGCCCACCCCGGCTGCAGCGGCGGGCCTGCGTTGTCGTGGCCCACGTCGCTGCTTCAGGCGGGGATCGCCGAGTCCGTCTGCAGCTGAGCCCGAAATCCAGCATTGGTGACAGCTGCCCGGTCCCCCCTTCGTTCACTCCGGGCGCCGACAGCACAAGGAGTCGCCTGGAGCGGCTCCCAGATCCCCGAGCGTTCTCCGGCAGGGGGGCGGCCCTTTCTCTGCTTCGCGCCTGGCCGTCCTGTCCCAGCGCCGCTCTCTTGCAGGTGGCAGAGGTCTGCCAGCAGCTGCACGCGGCCATGAGCCAGGCGCCGGTCAGGGAGAACGTGCCCTACTCCTGGGCCAGCCTGGCCTGCGTGAAGGCCCACCACTACGCCGCCCTGGCCCACTACTTCTCCGCCACCCTCCTCATCGACCACCAGCGTAAGGCCTGGGCGCTGGGCGGCAGGGGGTCTGGGCAGGGCAGTGGCCGGGCTGCCAGGACGGGAGGGGACGGGGGTCGGGGTGGGGACAGGGACTCCGAGCTGAGCGAGAGATGCCTGCCTGCCCTGGAGATGCTCACAGCCTGGAGGCAGAGGGCGAGAATGGCAGGTGACCCAGGTGGCCGTCACACCGGGCAGGTGGGAGCGGGGGCTGTAAGCTCTTCTTGGGGGGTGGGCAGCTTAATTTGGCCTAGGGGCAAGCAGATGACTTTCCACCTGGAATCGAGAATCTAAGGGCTGCCAAAAACTCAGTAATCAAGATGAGTGTGCCATTTTAAGGTAATATTTTAAATGAATCAATAAAATCCGTGATGATGGAAATTTTGAATAAAGACCAGGATTGGTAATGGATCTATGCTGAGCTGCATTGGAAGCTGTGGCAAGAAGAAATTTGGATGTTTTGTTTATCACGGGCTTTTTTGCGTTGATTTGGAGACTTTAAAACTTGCATTAAGGCCGGGCGCAGTGCCTCACGCCTGTAATCTTAGCACTCTGGGAGGCCAAGGCAGGAGGATCATTTGAGCTCAGGAGTTTAAGAGCAGCCTGAGCAATAGCAAGACCCCATCTCTACTAAAAATAGAAATTAATCGAGCTGGTCCTATGGTAGTGGGTTATCAGAACTTATTAACATTAGTGTCACTAAAGTTGGTATTCAACCCCCCACTGCTACATTTGACTGGCTTTAAAAAAAAAAAAAAAAGAAAGAAATTAATTGGCTAACTAAAAGTATATAGGAAAAGTTAGCCGGGCATGGTGGCGCATGCCTGTAGTCCCAGCTACTCGGGAGGCTGAGGCAGGAGGATCGCTTGAGCCCAGGAGTTTGAGGTTGCTGTGAGCTAAGCTGACACCATGGCACTCTAGCTGGGGCAACAGAGTGACTAAAAAAAAAAAATAATAATAATTGCATTAAATTATGTCTCTTGTTTACTGAGTTCTTGGCACTCAGTTAAATGTGGAGTTCAAGGCGGGCGGCTTACTTTCCTTGCCCCACCGCTGGCTCTGACCTAGAGGTTGGGTGGCAGTTTCGGTTAGTTTTGATTAACAAATACTAACACAGGGGGCCCCCAGAGTGATTAAAAGGATGGCCTTTGGAGCTAGACTGTTCAGGTTCTTATCTCAGCTCTGCCATTTACAAGCCGAGTGACCTTTGCCAAGTTACTGAGCTGTGTTGTGCTTCCGTTTGCTCATCTGCAAAATGAGTATAGAAAGAGAATATACTTTACAGGGCTGCTATGAAAACTAAGTGTCTGTATACATGGCTAAATTGTGCCCTGTGTAGTGCATCTCAGTCCCTCCGAAAGTGTTAGCCACTACCGTTAGTATTATGTCGTCTATTCCCCAGGACAAAATTTGGAAACACATAGAAACATTGTATCATTCCTCATTAGTATTATGTAGTCTATTCTACTGGACAAGATATGGAAACACATAGAAACATTGTATCGTGCCTCCTTAGTATTATATAGTCTATTCCACGTGATTTGCGAGGTTCGAGAAGGGGACCGGCACGGGCGGGGGGTGAGGTCGAGGGAGCCCCCCGAGGTGCCGGGCCAGGCAGTGCCGCGGGGGTTCTGTGTGGCGGGTCACTTGGAGGAGGTCACATGCGGGGGCTCAGGGCCAAACCATGAGCCCTGGAGCGTGTCGGTCACCGCGAGCAAAAGCTTGGGGACCGGGTGGCCTGAGGCGTGTCCGGGGGCAGACCGTTGTCCCCGGTGCCCGGTGCGGTTGGGGAAGAGGGGACCCGGGCGGTGGGGTTGGGAGAGGAGTGTCCGAGCGGGTCTGTGGCCGCATCGGCCGTGGCATCTAACCGGTGGCCTTGTTGCAGTGAAGCCGGGCGCGGACGAGGACCACCAGGAGAAGTGCCTGTCGCAGCTGTACGAGCACATGCCGGAGGGGCTGGCGGCCCTGGCCACGCTGAAGGACGGGCAGCAGCGCCGACAGCTGGGTGCGTGTGGGCCCCGCGCCCAGAGCCGCGGCCCGCTGGGTGGCCCGTGGGTGCCGCTCCCCGACCTCGGCAGGCGGGGCGCTGGGGGGCTCAGGAGGGCGGAGTCTGGACTCTCGGCCCCCGTGGGTTCAGAAGGCACGAGGCGCGGCCCTCCAGCGGGTCCGAGAGCACCCAGGCCTCCCTCCGTGAGCCGGGGCTTTGCGATCTCCCAGCCATCTCCCTGGGATGGGCCTTGGCCACCTGGCGAGGAGGGACGTGTGTGCGGAGTTTCTCGCGTCACAGCTGCAGCACCAAGGGCACCCAGGCACTCATAGTGAATCCGGTCTCCTCTGTGTCGCAGCGTGAATGTCCCTTTCCGCGTGCAAACCTGCCTTCACCCCCAAGACCTGCGTCCCTCCCCACGCCCTCCCCCAGCATGCACACTTGCACACACACACACACACACACACAAACGTGTGGCCACACATGCACACAGATACATACACGTGCACACACATACCCAAAAATGCACACACATGCACACAGATACAAACATGCGCACACTTACACAAACATGCACACATACATGCACACAGATACACGCACTCAAATGTGTGCAGACACATACACAAACGTGCACACACATGCACACAGATACACATGCACGCACACAGAGACGTGCACACACATACACATATGTGCACACACAGATGTACACAGATATACACACACAAACATGTGGACACATGCACACAGATACGCACACATGCGCACACATACACAAACATGCACACAGATACACACGCACACACACTCCAATGTGTGCACACATACACAAATGTGCACACACATGCACACAGATACACATGCACACACACACAAACGTGTAGGCACATGCACACAGATACACACATGCACACACACAGACGTGCACACACGTGCACAGATGCACACACACACAAATGTGCACACACACTCTCCCACCTCAGTGATGGCAGCCCTGTCCCCCTGGGTGCTCAGGCCAGAACCCTCACCGTCCCCTCCTGTCATTCTTTATCTCCCCCCACATTTAGTTAGCAGATCCCTCCGAACACATATCCCAGATTCTGTCACTTCTTATCCCACCGCCCTGGCCAAAGCCACGCGTGTATAGTGCTTGCTTAACACGCAGCGCCCCGCCGAAACTCACGCGGCCCGTGAGATGGGTCTGGCGTGGCCCCATCCTGCATCTCAGGAAGCAGAGGCCGGGAGAGGTCACGCGGCTCGCCCTGCTCGTAACCGGCCCGCCTGCTTCCCCGCGTTCCTTCCGAGTGCGCTGGCCTCGGGGGTCAGACCACACCAGTCCTTCGCCCGCACCCCAGTGGCTCCCATCCCACCCCCAGCGGGAGTGAGGTCCCCATCCTGCACTTGTCGGGCCAGGCGTGGTCCGGCCCTGCCGCTTTCTGACCTCTCTCCCACCCTCACTGCCCCGGCCACAACCCCAGCTCCTTGTTGCCCTTGAGCCCCTACCTCATCCGCACGCTCCTGCCCCAGGGCCTTTGCACTGGCTGCTCCTTCACTGCTGGTGGGGCTGCGCTTAAAAGTTACCTGCCCAGAAAGCCTTCCGTGGTCACCCATGACAGAGCGACTCGTATTCCCACCTTCTCTTGCCGCTTCTGCACACCCTGCTTTATTTTTCTCCAGTGCCCTGTCGCTGCACACGTTATTACGTGTTTCTTACATGTTTCTTTGTACTCTGTATATAACATATTTCTTTGCTTGTTAATTATCTGTCTTCAACCCCTCCATGTGAACTCCATAAATGCAGGGGCAAATTTTTGTTAATTGCTTCATCTCTAGTGTCTAGAACATTCAGTGACTATTTGTTGATTGAATATTTCATGGACACAAGTGAGCTTATTTTATTTTTATTGTTTGCTACAGAGAGTGCCGTGGCGTCAGCCTAGCTCACAGCAACCTCAAACTCCTGGGCTCAAGCGATCCTCCTGCCTCAGCCTCCCGAGTAGCTGGGACTACAGGCATGCGCCACCGTGCCCGGCTCACTTTTTTTTTTTTTTTTGAGACAGAGTCTCACTTTGTTGCCGAGGCTAGAGTGAGTGCCGTGGCATCAGCCTAGCTCACAGCAACCTCAAACTCCTGGGTTCAAGGATCCTAGCTCACAGCAACCTCAAACTCCTGGATCCTCCTCCCTCAGCCTCCTGAGTAGCTGGGACTACAGGCATACGCCACCATGCCCGGCTAATTTTATATATATATATCAGTTGCCCAATTAATTTCTTTCTATTTTTAGTAGAGATGGGGGGGTGGGTCTCGCTCTTGCTCAGGCTGGTTTCGAACTCTTGACCTTGAGCGATGCTCCCGCCTCTGCCTCCCATAGTGCTGGGATGACAGGCGTGAGACGATCACACACAGGCATGCATTCAGTGGAGGAGGCGTGAGCTGTCCGGGTGGGTCCTTTGGAAGAGCAGGTCGGCCGTCCGGGGCCGGCTGTCTGCCAGGCGTCACGCGTGACTCGGGTGCCGGTTTCCGCCCGCAGGGAGGTCGCACCTGCGCAGAGCCCTGGCCCACCACGAGGAGTCTGTGCGGGAGGCCAGCCTGTGCAAGAAGCTGCGCAACATCGAGGTGCTCCAGGAGGTGCTCTCCGCCGCGCAGGAGCGCTCCCGGCTCAAGTACTCGCAGCACCAGGCCGACGATGACCTCCTGAACCTGATCCAGGCTCCCGACATCGTTCGTGAGTCGCGGGGACCGCGTGCGCCTGTCTGTGTGGGTGGATGCCCGTCCTTCGGACAGAGCTCGCCCAGCCCGAGACACGGGGCTCCCTGGGGAGACCCGGGCTTGCTTTGCGCAGGGCTCAGTGCTCAGTGCACAGTGCTCAGTGTGCAGTGCTCAGCGCACAGGGCTGGGACTGGCCCTCACTGGGCGTTGGGTGCTTGAGGGCTGCACAGGGCAGGGGCTGATGGGATGCTCTTTTTTTTGAGACAGAGTCTCACTCTGTTCTCCAGGCTAGAGTGAGTGCCATGGCATCAGCCTAGCTCACAGCAGCCTCAAACTCCTGGGCTCAAGCGATCCTGCCTCATCCTCCCTAGTAGCTGGGACTACAGGCATGCGCCACCATGCCCGGCTAGTTTTTTCTATATATATTTTTAGTTGGCCAGTTAATTTCTTTCTATTTTTAGTAGAGACGAGGTCTCGCTCTTGCTCAGGCTGGTTTCGAACTCCTGACCTTGAGTGATCCTCCCGCCTCGGCCTCCCAGAGTGCTAGGATGACAGGTGTGAGCCGCCGCGCCCGGCCCTTGATGTGCTGCTACTCTTGCCCTGGAGTTTCCATCTCCTGACTCCCAAGTGCAGGGGCTTCCTTACGGTCCGCAGCCTTGTCAGCGACCCCTTTGCAGCAAGACGCACCCAGGCCCGGCGACAGTCCTCCCTTGGCACCGGGCACCTGCCGTCTCGGTTCTCGCCGCCCTGATCCTGCTTCCCCGTCCTCTCTGCCGGCTGTTTCCTGCCCAATCCCACCCACCCTCCCTCCGGCATTTCCCAGGGGTCTGCTCTCCCTGCTTCGTTCCCCTAGATCCATTTTCGTAACGTCCCATAGGCTGCCTTGGGGTCTTAGCCGCCAGTCACCTCCAGCCGGGAGCTTTCCCTGTGGTCCGACGTCTTTGCCGGGCTCCGTGCCCACCCGCGTTTCCGGCTGCCTCTGGGGAGCTGCGCTTTGCTGTCTCTGTCTTTCGCCTCCACCTTTCATCGCGGCCAACATTTCCGAGCGTCTCCCAGGTGCCCTGAGCTCAGGAATACAGAGGGTCAGAAATACGACTGCTAGCTGGGCGCGGTGGCTCACGCCCGTAATCCTGGCACTCTGGGAGGCCGAGGCGGGAGGATCTCTCGAGGTCAGGAGCTCGAAACCAGCCTGAGCAAGAGTGAGACCCCGTCTCTACTATAAATAGAAAGAAATTAATTGGCCAACTAATATATATAGGAAAACATTAGCCGGGCATGGTGGCGCATGCCTGTAGTCCCAGCTACTCTGGGAGGCCGAGGCGGGAGGATCACTCGAGGTCAGGAGTCCGAAACCAGACTGAGCAAGAGGGAGACCCTCGTCTCTACTATAAATAGAAAGAAATTAATTGGCCAACTAATATATATAGGAAAACATTAGCCGGGCATGGTGGCGCATGCCTGTAGTCCCAGCTACTCGGGAGGCTGAGGCAGGAGGATCGCTTGAGCCCAGGAGTCTGAGGTTGCTGTGAGCTAGGCTGACGCCACGGCACTCACTCTAGCCTGGGCAACAGAGCGAGACTCTGTCTCAAAAAAAAAAAAAAAAAAAACTGCAGGCGGTTGTTGCTGTCCTGGGGGAGGTGGCTGTCACTTCTGCCCGGGAGGGTGGGTGTGGGAGCACCTTCCCGAAGAGGTGGCTTTACAGTGAGGAATGACCAGGATCTTCCCAGAAATTAGGGGTGGGGCCGGAGGGTAGCCCGGTCGAGGGAAGCCCCTCTGTCCGTATCCCCCTGTCTCAGCCTATATCCTGCACCTCTGTCTTCAGAGACCAAGCCCTTAGAGACAGGGCCCTGCTGAAGCTAGAAGCCCGGGCTTGTCCATAGCAACGTTGGCGGATATCTATTGAGCATTTGGGGTCTGCCAGGGTCTGCGTGACAGTTGGCACCATGTGTATACAGGATCTCATTCAGCCCTCCTTTAATGCTACGAGGGAGGTACTGGTATCACCGGAGTGTTAGGGATGGAGAAATTAAGGCTCAGGGGCCCAGTGTGGTGGCTCACGCCTGTCATCCTAGCACTCTGGGAGGCCGAGGCGGGCGGATTGCTCAAGGTCAGGAGTTTGAAACCAGACTGAGCAAGAGGGAGACCTTGTCTCTACTAAAAATAGAAAGAAATTAATTGGCCAACTAAAAAAAAAAAA